ATTTTGGCAGAAATCATCTCTTCCAAGCGCCCAGCCCGCATCTTGCCGCTTTTTGTCTTACTTCTCGCTCTCTCTCTCTCTCTCTCTGCCGTTGCTCCTGGCTACCTCATCTCACACTGTCTCCTCACAGCTGCTGAGCTTCTCAGGAGCAGTGGATCGAAGACTGGGCCATGCTCGCGCGGCGCTACAAGCACTGCCTCTACGTGGTCGGCTTTGATCTGCGCAACGAGGTCCGAAAAGACGGAGAGTCGACAGCGCCACATACCGACGCTGGGGAAGGTGTCTTTTTTCAATTCCCAGTTTGGAATCGAACCCCAAAGATCCCAAAGGATCCCAGTTTGGTTCAGGCAAAAGATCCCAAAGATCCCGCAGTTTTCTGGGTCCGACTTCAGATTTGCCGAAGGTCCGCTTCTGCCCCTGGCCCTTCCGTTGGCCCAGCCTGGGCCCTCGCCCCTGGCCATGCGCCGACTGGGCGTCGGCGGCCGCGACCTGCGGGCGCCGTGTGACGGAGGCGGCGGGGACGCCACGGCTGCTGGCGCCTCCGGCAGAACCGGTCTGAGGCCTCTAGTTTGAAGGGATGCCAATGGGAAATGAGCTGGCCAAGTTGAACAGCACGAACAGCATTGGATGCACATTGACATATATGCTATCCTATGGCCAGGGGTCAACACCAATTAGGTTCCCATTTTGGGGGTTTTCGGTGTACCCATTTTAGAACCTATTTTAGTGGTTGGATTGGGATGTTCACTGGGGGTACGGGGTTTTGACCCACAGCCAAATCAGCGTCTTGTCGTGGTTCCCCATTTTGTGACACTGCCCCCCAAAGAAAATGTGGCCGAATATGGTCGATCTCAGTCGACAAAATTGATTTTTTTGATACGGGAGGATCCGGTTGTGGAAGGGCATCATGTTAACAATGGGATCCAGCATGATCCAGCTGATAGCCCCAAACACGGATAGCCTCAATCACAGCGGAATCCACATTGCTGGTTCATTTCACTCCTTGCATCCAGCACCAGATCTGGGCTGAGTAGAGATCTCTGTGTGCCCAGGTGGTCGAGCGGATCATTTGGCCAATGCGGAGCTTGGAGGCTGGCGCGGCCAAAAGGGCCGCGGTTTTTCTGCGCCACGAGACGGGACAAGCGAAACGTATTTGCGGAGTGGCATGCACATAGGTGTCCTTTTTGGGTTACTTTGCTTGGAAATTTCGATGGCACGGGTTTAGATTCATTTTGTTCCGTTTACCAGGGACATCTATTTTACCCAAAGGACACTGCACCTGATGGACCCATTCTGCCCACATGGTACTGGAGTATTCGATCCCCGCAACGTGTCCACCTTTTTCCACTCCCCACAGCCACAGTTGAGAGGCGTATGCAGCAGAGGGCCTGCTGCTCCCGGACTGGAAGGACCACCTGGTTTTGGGCGTCCATCACTACAGCTGGAACGGCCCAGGCAGATATCTCGCCTTCGGCCACATGATGACAAAGGGCTTCATGCGCCCGGACGCAAGGGCTGGGTGGTGGCGCCATTGGCTGGTGCTGTTTGGGCTCACTTGCGCCCTCTTGCGATATTGGAAGTGGCATGCACCAATCCCAACCAATCCCAATATTGGTCCTTGCGCTTCTGGCCAACAAACCGTTGCCCTCGAGCGGGGGGAGACAATATGCCGGGACAGTCCTGGTTCATGCATTTGGTGAGTCGAACGAAGTAGAGCTCAACCAGCTCCTATCCAAATTGAAATCGTGGGAACACCGATACTGTAGGGGTACCTTCCCCATTCTTTCCCATCAAAATCCCAGCGAAAACGGCTGGTTTTTGAAAATAATGATGGTTGAAAAGAATGGTTGGAATCAACCGGTAGAAATCCTACCAATACCCCTGGCTTTTGAATCTTCCAGGTGGTTCATGAAGATCTTCCTCCGTTTGCTGGGCATCTTTTCTCCGCGGAACTACGGCGACATGGCGTCCCGCGAGCTGCGGGAGGAGCTGCACCGGCAGTGGGGCCACCTGCTGGAGAGGGACGTGTGCCCCGTGTGGGTCAGCGAGTTCGGCACCAACAAAGGGGGCTACGACCTCAGCTGGTTCCAGCGCTTCGTGGAGATCTTGGGCCAGATGGAGGCAGGAAATAGGAGTGGGAAGGAGAAACAAGTTGGCCAAGATGTCTTGAATGCCCTTTTACCTTTTTTTTGGGAAGGGTTCCCCTACTAAAATAGACTACAGAAAAAAGGGTACCTTATGCTAACCTCTCTACTGGAGGACCTAGAATAGCATTGGATACAAACATGTTTGCGTTTGCACCATTGAGCTGGCCAAGTTGAACAGCATGAACGGCATTGGATGCACATGTGCTATCATACGGCCATGGTTCAAAACCAATGGCACCATTTTGGCATAGGTGCGCCACCCGTTTTAGAACCTATTTTAGTGGGGATTGGGATGTTCACTGGGGTACGATTTGGATTTTAACCCATGGCCATATGCTTGTGTTTGAGAACAGTCGCGAGCAAGCGGCTGCCTGATTCGCTGTTCTCTTAGGCTCGAACATGGCGCCTGCAGGTTCAAGCAACACTTTGTGCCCAACACCCAAGAAGCTATCGCAGCCAGTAGAAGCGCCTTGAAACATATCAAACCGCGGGCTCATCCAATCCAGCATTTTAAAAACAGGTTGACTTTCAAAGAAGCACTCGAGTTCCTAAACAGTGATGCCTCTAGCTCAACCAACACGCAGGTTGTTGCTAGTCGCAGAACCAAGAAGGCGCCTCGGATTCTTTCCACTGTTCGGGAATTCCGATTTTTGGCAGAGAAGTGATTCAGAATGCTACACTGGCAATCAACAACCCCAGGACGTTGTTTCTGAGATCTTGGGATGTGGAGGGGTGGTGTTGAGGCCAGTTTCTGGTTGGGTTTTGGGTTTTAGATTGCCTCATGTCTCCTCAATAGCCCGGTTTAGAGCAGGCAAACCGCTGCCACATAGTACACCTACATGGCTGTGGGTCAAAACCAATGTTTGTCTATAGTGGGATGTTCACTGGGGGCTAACCGATTTGGATTTTGACCCATGGCCACATGTCAAATCTTGACTCGAGTTCAGCAAGTCATCGGCACCAAGGGAAACTCACCTTGGGTGCCATGTGATTTTGAGAGCTCACTTCAACCGGCAGAGAGGCGAACAATTTCTGAAAGCGCCAGAGGGCTCATGTTTTGTCTATTTTAGTGGGGGTTGGGATGTTCACTGGGGGCTAACCGATTTGGATTTGGACCCATGGTCACATGAAAACCTGAAAAGCGGCCATGGGAGGGCAGAAAGTTCCTTCAACAGCGGCGCCAGGCCGACTTTGCCTACTGGCCGCTGAACGTGGGGCCAAAGCCCAGCTGCGGCGGGGAGGAGGGCGCCTACGAGGTAACCCTCCATTTGCTGAACTGTTTTTTTTTTTTTTTTTTTTTTTGAAAATATATTTTATTTTCCCTTGTTGGTTTTAAAAGGAGTTCATCACCACTGGATTTGTTTTTAGTTTTTCCTGGGGGGCCTCCACCAAATGGAAGTGACTTGAGGCTCAACGGGTTTGTCTCGCCATGAATCTCCCGTTGGCGTGGCATGGGCATGGGTTTCAAAATGAAAAGCCAGACCACCGCCAGGTCCCATTTTGAGTGCCTTTTGTTTTGGGTGCCTATGTTTGACCCACGCCCGCCTCTGGGCTGTTGTTGAATTACCTGCTACAGAGTTGCTGGTCTGCATGTCGCCAGCATTTTGCTCGCAGGAGAGCTACGGGGTGCTCGGGCCTGACTGGACGCCCAGTTCTGAAAAGGATGAGCGGCTAGATCTTATGCGGAAACATGGGCTTTTAGAGCACGCACAGTGACGGCCTTCAGCTGAGACGGATCGGTAAATCTGTGGGTTGGGGGGTGCGTCCCTTTGTCAAGTGCTTGGTACAAGAGGAACTCCCAGGACGTATGGTGCAGCATTGCAGCCCGGCCCTGCCCGGAACCATTCATTCAATTGGCAGTGCCAAAGTCAGCACTGGTGACAGCCCGCCGCACTCTAAGTTAAGGAGCCGGTGGAGTGAATTGAAGCGCAAGAGGCGAAAACGATACCCTGAAATCGCTTTTATGGACATGCAATGTATAAAATATGTGCCTAATATATATATATATATACACACCCCCTTCATGGATCTGCCTTTTTGCTGTTTGAAGGCTATTTTGGAATGCCCCATGCGACTTGACCAGCATCAGCTCACCCGAATCAAGGGAGTCTTCTTCGAAATATAGTTTGGAATAACAGTTCCAGCTATGTGTTTGCCTTTGAAAAGGACATCCTATTCATTAAAAGTTAGAAATTCTACTAGAATTATTGCCTTTATTAGATTCCAGTCAGTTCTAAATAGAAAGTGGAGAAGCAATATTTCGGGAAAGGACGGTCTCTTTAAAATATATATATTTGAAGTAAGACCCCCAATCAAGAATGTTCTTTAAAAATGGAAATCCTATTTAACTCATCTTTAAGTCTAGACATTACATTACGCGTTGTTCACTTTTAGTTTCTATTTGAATTTTAATTCGCAAATTGAACAAATCATCCTGGAAAAAAGCAGCCTTTTGAACCTCTAATGTGAAACAAAGCGTCTTTTTAAAAAGAATGTAGGTTCTCTTTGAAACCAGAAGTTCTAATAGAATTACGTCCTTATTCAACTCTATTCACAATATGCCAACACATCAACCTGTTTGAACATCTAGTTTCAAGAAAGAATTTTGTTCGACAAGTAAATCCCACTTCAATTCTCTGTAAACTGGAAACTCTACTAGGGTTTGTTCCTTATTAAATTCCATTTCAATTCTAATTAGACAATTGAATAAACACAATCCTAGAAAAACAGATTCCTTTTTTAATTCATCTTTCAATTCTATTTTGAGACAATAATTCTAGCTGCTTCTTTGATTGTTCAATCCTGATCGAATACGTTGAATTCCAAGCAACACATCAATAACAAAGCAAACCCCAGTCAGTTTATTTTAAAAAAAGAGACATGTTTCCAATGAACTTCCTTGAACAAACATCTACGAGAAGTAAGTGCGATTCCTATACACGTGATTCAATAAACACCCTAAACCTGTCCATTCTAAGCTGAGGTTTGGTCAGATGATGCAACAGAACAGCTATGTTGGAGCCAATGGCCCAAAAGTGAACACGTAAAAAAAAAATATGGAGCCAATAGCCCAAGAGCAAAAGCGTAAAGTTCTGGCGCCAACGCCCCAAAAGTATTAAAAGAAAGCGCAAAAGACACATCTGGAGCCAATGACCAATGCAGACACACAAAAGTAAAGAAGTAAAAGTAACTGAACCAAAAGTAAACAAAGTAAACAAGTAAAAAAACATAAAAGAAGCAAAACATAAAACCGTACCAAAGCAGAAAAGTAACAAGGTAAAATACTAAATCAACTCCCTGAAGTAAACTGCTCTGACCATGGGCTGACATATTTCACCTTGTTACCTTTTTACTTTTGGGTCGTTGGCTCCACTTTTTTTTTGGCTCCAAAATGTCACTTCTTTACGTTTTCACTTTTGCGCCTATGGCTGGCTCCAACATAGCCGTTGTTTTGCATCTTCTGACCAAACCTCGGCTTAGACATAGGACAGAGGTGGATCCAAATTGACTGGGTACCATACATGTATAATATATATATATATATATATATATTCATATATACACAAATACGCATCCTGGCCACATCTGTGTGCCACACGTTCGGGGCTTGCCGGCTTGAACTTCCACATTCGCAGCTTATGCAACACATTCCACATTTGCCTTCTCGAGCTTCGGCGCTAGGTATGGACAATGAGCTGGACGACTTCTGGCAAACCCACCTTACTGCAGATGCCATGGCAGCTGCCTCAGAACCCAGTGATGTGGGCCTCTCTGAGAACAAAGAACCCTTGAATATGTAGCGAAACCAAAGCAAGCCGAGCCTTGGGATGGGTTTCCTCATGTCGAGAAAGCTCGAGCGCGCGCTCGGATCGGCAACAGCGGAAGTAGTCAGACAAGACAACGACAAGAGAAATGCACGGCCAGTGAAAGGGGGTGACATTGGCTCCACACAGCACTACCCAAGCCAGTGCCCATTGCTTGGTTGAAGAACAAGGGTGCTTTCATGATGCCTGAGTTCATCAAAGCGTGTCTTATCGACATGGACCCATGGTGTGCTTTTCAGCGCCTCGCATCTTTTGCCTGATCCAGCTGGCTCCCGGGAGCGTATCAGCTGGCAGCGTATCAAGAGTGCTTGGCACAGCGCTTGGTGTACGTAGTGCACCTATTGGAGCACGCAGGATTTGTGGTTTGATACTTTCGTCGCTTGTCTGACGTGTTTGCCTCCAAGCCAACATGTCGGGGTGAAGAGGCCACTCGGACGGTCCAAAGGTGTACCTGTCATCAGGTTTGTGCCTCATGGGCTCGTAGACCCTCAAACCAACCATTTTTCAGGGAAGCTACGTTTTGAAAGAGGTTCACAAGAAGAAGTATGCGCTTCTGCCGCCTGAAACATTTAACTTGAATGTATTTAAGGCCCACTGTGCTGAAGACACGGACAACGCAGACAGCACATTCTTACTTTGTAGATTGAACATTGCTTTACACATACATTCCCCAAACAGTGTGTCTACACTAAGGGGTTCTTACGGTAAGAGAAAAGGCCTTGGTGCCAGATTGAGGTGCCCGCTCTGGCCGCGAGCGTTTTGCGTGGTATTTGCCGCAGATTCGTGCTCTTGCTTGATGTCGAAGTGCGTTTCGACTGCGCAGGCTCGCACAAAGTGAGTTGGCGACTTCTGTCCGCGAGCGTTTTGCGTGGTATGTACCGCAGATTCGTGCTCTTGCTTGATGTCGAAGTGCGTTTCGACTGCGCAGGCTCGCGCAAAGTGAGTTGGCGACTTCTGTCCGCGAGCGTTTTGCGTGGTATGTACCGCAGATTCGTGCTCTTGCTTGATGTCAAAGTGCGTTTCGACTGCGCAGGCTCGCACAAAGTGAGTTGGCGACTTCTGTCCGCGAGCGTTTTGCGTGGTATGTACCGCAGATTCGTGCTCTTGCTTGATGTCGAAGTGCGTTTTGACTGCGCAGGCTCGCACAAAGTGAGGTGTCGACTTCTGTCCGCGAGCGTTTTGCGTGGTATGTACCGCTCTTGCTTGATGTTGAAGTGCGTTTCGACTGCGCAGGCTCGCACAAACTCGATTTTTTTGCTTTTTTGGCGGCTCCGGGGACCGTGGGGGTTTTGTCTCGTGGTCCGGCGGCACGGGTTTCCGGCGAAAGGTCCCGGGCTCGATTCCCGCCCTGTCCGCGCGAGCTTGTTTCCCTTTCTTTGGGCATGCTTGGATGGTGCTTCTGTGCTGCGACGGCGTCTCGATGGTACTCTGAACAACAACACCCAAAAACAGCAACAGCTACAGCAACAGCAACAGCGCCACAATCGAGAACAAAGGAAGAAGCTACCTAGCTAGCTAACTCACTAACTCAGGCACCCTGGTGAAACAAACACACAGATCTTGCCTTTTGTAGTGATGCTTACACACACACACACACGCACACACACACACACACACACACACACACACACACACACACACACACACACACACACACACACACACACACACACACACACACACACACACACACACACACACACACACACACACACACACACACACACACACACACACACACACACACACACACACACACACACACACACACACACACACACACACACACACACACACACACACACACACACACACACACACACACACACACACACACACACACACACACACACACACACACACACACACACACACACACACACACACACACACACACACACACACACACACACACACACACACACACACACACACACACACACACACACACACACACACACACACACACACACACACACACACACACACACACACACACACACACACACACACACACACACACACACACACACACACACACACACACACACACACACACACACACACACACACACACACACACACACACACACACACACACACACACACACACACACACACACACACACACACACACACACACACACACACACACACACACACACACACACACACACACACACACACACACACACACACACACACACACACACACACACACACGCACAAACACACGCACACACGACCATGGCGCTGGCTTCGACACGTGTCTGCTGCATTCTCTTGCGCGTGTCTGTTCCAGGCCGTGTCCTTGTCTTTGTGAATGTGCGCGCAAATACCGCGAAATGATGTTGCAGCTTCCTGACAACAACCGCCGTTTTGCGGCGCAGCCCGCACAATACTCTGCAGCGTGTGACCGCCGCCTATCACTGTTTGGGGTCTCGTGCCGGGGTAATCTTTTTTTTGTATTTACACATATTGTTAAACAATGTGTTTCGTTTCAGCAGCATTTCAGCCTTGCTTCACATGGTCGTTTGGGGTCCTTTGGGGAAGCTTGTTTCTTTGCACATTTGCTACGGTTGTTAGCGGCTGCGTGGTAATTTCTCCCTTATCATCAGGAAGCTTCTCCTTGTTGCCACGATTGGTTCAAGCCAGCTCAGCAAGTTCCAGCTTCTTTGTCCGCCATGACTTACCTCTACTGCTAGTACTGCTTGATGGACTCAATTCACAGTTTTCGACCGAGCAAGAAGCACGTGCAGCCCTCTCCGACTAAGCGACATCGAGCGCAGAATCTGACGCCTGAAGAGACCGACCCGGCGAGCTCGCCCAGGGGAAGGTGCTGAGAAAGGCAATGGGCCCTCGTGCCCTTTGCGGCGGCTGGGGGTGCTGGCCATCGGCCTTGTCCGCCTCGCAGCGCAGCAGCCTTTTGGCAGCGCTCCTGCGCAGCATTGGCGCCAGGCAGCAACGCGAAGGCCAAAGAAATTCACGCGCAAGCTGCCCGCGCGCATCGCGCCAGCCGCCATCCAGCAAGGGATTTCGACACGCCAAACTCGGCAGAGCAGACGCCAGCCGCAGGTGGCATGGGAAAAGGGAAGTGGAAGCGCCGGACATCGGACGCGGTGCTCCGAGCAGCTTTCTCCAAAGAGAACATGGCGGCCAGGGATGTGGCTGAGCAAGTCGACGCGGCAAGCGCCAAGCACGCTTCAGGCTGCAAGCTGATTGTTGCGCAGAGTTGATCAGGAAAGGGCAGAAGGCTGGCCTGCTCGAGTTCTTGGAGCAGGCTGAGCGCAGCACTCCTGGTGCGGAAATGCCCTTTGCTCTGACGAATCTGCTCTTCGACCAGACGGAGCTTGAGCTTAGCTTGCGCTGTTACGGTCTGGTCAGCTTTGGCTTCATAGCCAAATAAATGAGCTTCAGGGTTGGCGACAAGACCCACGACTTCGATCTCATCCGGCCTTGTGTGGCAAGCAGGCCTGCACCATGTGGCCAGCTCTTTAAGGAGGCCTCTGGCCAGGTTTGTCGGCAGTGCCAGCCAAGCGAAGCGCTGTGTTGACGGTGTGCGGCGCAGCTCCTGCGAATATCAAGCTGCTAGGCAGCCTCCAGCCCAGTCCTTGACGGTGCTGGGAGGCTACTGTTCCCTAACGTTGTCGAGCGGGAACTCCTTCACATCTTCCCAAAGTCTTACGCAGCTGCGAAGACGCTTCGCTCTGGAGCTGTAGTGCCACGCTTACTGGGTGCGTGAAAGAGGTGTGGACGGAAAGGCTCCAAATTATTGAAGGTCAGGCTTGCGGCAAACAGATCTCCAGCTTGGTGAGGCAAGAGTCTCCTCGTGAGATCTCGTGAGGAAGGCGGCGTGCCAGACATCCACGACGAGTTTCTGCAGTTTTTCGCTGGGCCTTGGACAGGACTGGGTTGATGCAAAATCTGTCTTGTCTTTTTACATCAGGCTAAAGGCTGGCTGAAAGCGCTTCGTGTTTTGCCCGGATAGTTTTTTTCGGGGCCCGCTTCAACAGGCGCCGAGCTGCGAGCGAGTGGGCAGGCAGGGCTTCGCGGCAAATAAACGCAGCTCCTTCTTCAAAGTACAAGAGGCCAGCGCGTTTTTCGTGTTGTCACTCTTTCGTCCACAGCCGCAATACTGACAAACTACGCTTTTGAGTCAATTTGCCCCGATCGCTGAGCCTTGCCGTGCCGGCGCGCATTTTGTTGACCTCTGACACTGCAACCCTAACAAGCGCCCTTTGATTGTGGCAGCCTGATTTCCTCTTGCTTCAAACAGTTTTGTTAAAACAAACATTGCTCTATTGAAAACATTTTTGCTCAAAATAATATTTGTAAGTATTGTCTTTGAACAAGATGAATTGTTGAAACAATATTTGGTAGTTTAAAACAATGGCCGGGGTCTGGTGGGGGCCTCTGGAAACTCACAGCTTTTAACTACAGCCAAACATTTAACCCTTACTCAACCCTGTTCACCTATTCATGTGGCACTGGTCATACGGGTGCGTCTTTTCTTGAGGGACCCCACACCGGCTTCCCTGGAAAACCAACCAAGAAGGGTACCCTGCAACGCAACACGCACACACGCGCACCACCATCGGGCACATACCTTCCATGTGCAACAGGTTTTTTTCCCTCTTGCTTTTAAAGGGAATCTGTCACTACCGTTTTGGCGTGTTTCTTCATGTTTATGATTTTTCCAGTTGGACGACTATGCAAATGGAAGATGCATGGGGCCGGCCCCTCCGTTTCTTGCCGCAAGCGGCTGGCGTCCTGAGGTGAGCACCATGCGCCAGGCGGTGGGCGACACCTTTCAGCTGCTCCTCACTGCCTTGTGGCCCGAAGCCCCAGCGCGGGGCTTTGGGGGTTGGGGTTGGGACGTGTTCATCCAAAGAACTGACATACTTTGTTGAATCCATTCTTAAAAACATATGTATACAGTATACATATATATATATATTTCTGTTTATATAGACAAATTTAAACAGAGAAAACATGTTTCATTTTCTTAGCAACAAACATATTTGACAAACAATATCCCCAGAGGGGGTATACCCCCGACTTAGTCACCTAATCAGTCTGTACGACACACCACGACCCAACCAACACCCAGAACTTTCCCCAACTTTCGCCCGCGTGTCTGGGCGAAGGCCCGGCTTTCAACCGGGGAAGAAGAAGCATGTCGCGAGGGTAGCAAGAAATTCATGAAGTGTTGACCCGCACATTGAATTTGAGTGTGATCCACCAGAGGTGAAGGCTATAAGGAGCATACTGTAAGTGAATATGCGGTAAGACGCAATGCCAACTTGTACTGGTCTTGCTTCTGGGAAACTAGTCTTGGATACTTGACGCCATGCTGACAATTGGGTGATTGATTAGGATGGCGGCCAGGATATGGGTAGTGACATGCACATGTACTCACGCGTTCTATCACAAGTACAGTATGCGCGTGTCCGCATGAGCTGGTGTATTGGGACATGAAGGTGTATGTGGAACATGATGGTACGTGCGAAGCAAACGCACCAATCAATGCTTCAATGTATCAGTGGGCTTCGCAGCAATCCTGGCGACAAGGTTTGTTTCCCAAAGTCACCCTGTCACCCATCCTACATATCCAGCCACCAACAGTCACCCTTAGATCGTGAGAGTTTCATCCACTTTGTGTCGGAGGAACAAATTCCATCCCAAAGTCAGCCCACTTTGAGACCCGCCATTGTCCGACTGGTCATGGGGTTTCCTTTTGGTTTCCCTTTAAACCAACCCGCAAAGAGGTACCCTCAAACGCTCAACTGAGTCACTGTCAAAACCTGGGTAGATGAAGATGGCTTGCTTTGTAGTACAAGAATGTGTTTGATCGCCCTCACTGGTCCATTTTTGGATGGTGCTCGGCACTGATCCCCTACCTCTGACTTCTATCTCGATGTCATTTGGTAGTCTGGGTTAGTAAGAGACAATCCCAACTGCGTACACCGTTTCAGTACCGGGATTTGAGTATGACTCGCCTCCTTTTCCCATCCCCTTTGCGACTTCTCAGGCTCTACACCCGGGAGGCTTGGCTGCGGCACCTGTTGGACGCCTTGTCCGTGGCGCTGTGTGCCTCACACACCGACGAGGCAATTGGGGGGGGGGGGGTGGGAGGCCTATTCATCAGCTGAATCAGTTCCTTGGGCCTAACAAGATGAAATTATCGCTAACAAGATTACCAGTATCAAAGTCACCCCCAGGGTTTCTGACTTTGAGAACCCCTAGAAACCGCCAAAATAAGAACCCCCAGCTTCTCCGCTTCTCGGTTCCTCGGTGCTCGGTTCCTCGTAGGGCAACCGCGGCGGCACGGGCTCGGCGCCGGAGCCGCCGCTGGCGGAGCTGGCGCCGGCCTTCGCCCCCGTGGCGCCGCTGGTGGAGGCGCTGGCGCCGCTTCTCGGCGGAAATCGGAGGGGGATGGATCAACCAGCTGGGGCGATAGGTAGGTTTTTTTTTTTTTTTGAAATCAGGCCTTGGTCCCCTTGAAGGAAACCCGATAGGTGCCCAGTGGCGCCCTTTTTTTTCTTCTAGAGAAGGGTTCCTGAGGATAGGCGCGATGGATCAACCTGGGAAGGTGGTTGAATGAACCCAGGCTTTGGTCCAAACCACCAGTGGGGTGGTTTATAAGGGTCGTTCCATCTCTCATTCCCCGCTGAGCACCGGCAAGTCAAGATAGAATTAGAAACAAGGGCGCCCCCAGGCTCCAAAGCCTGCCGAGAGACATTGTGGTGCAAGAGCCATGGGGCGTTCTTAGGCCATTCTTGCTTCGGAAAGGTCGCTGCAGAAAACCCAAATTTGCACGGGGTTTGGTGCTGCAAGCCCTTTGGTTTGCATGGGCGGAGACTCCCGAGGTGCATGCAGCTGGTGCAGTCCGCTCTCTCCTGGTTTGAGGAAGCCAACATCCGCCACACAGCAGTCACGTGGGCCCGGAGAGGACATCCGCTCCTGTTGTAAGCTCAACCTTGAAGATTCCTTGATTTAGGTTTTGGTTGCTGTTAAAATTGCAGACAACTCAACCGGTTCTTGAATCAAGTGGGAAATTTCAGCCTTCTAACTTTTGAGCGCAGGCGATTTACACTGACGGAGGCGCGCATACAACATGTCGACGCTATGTTCATGGCCGACAACACTCACACCCACACGCACAAACACCCTGTTGCCAACGGTCTGCTGTTCTGAGATGTCTTCTCAGAGTGTCTAGAGCAACAGTGCTGGGGTTGAAACCCACTGATCCTGCACAGGTACCGACCGCTACTTTTGCCCATGCTCGGGCTGCAGAAGCTGGTGGACAGGCTGAGCGGGCGAAGCGCGTTTGGTGAAATGGTGGCAGTGCAGGGGTCCTCAAGTTTGCTTTGGGCCCCGGTTTCGCTTCAAACCAGATGTGGGTCGTTTGAAGGATGTTCGGCCATCCGGGACTCGGAGATATTCTTGTGTTCTAAGAACCTTAAAAAATGAGGGGTGTCCTTTTTTCCCCCCCCCCCCCCTCCCCCCCCACCAAAGGGCAGACGTGTTGCGTTTTTTTCTTCTTCGGGCGCCAGACACGGCGTGTAGGTACGTGGCCTCCCGAAAGACTCCGGAGCCTGAGAAGGACGGGACGGGCGGGCAAAGAGGGAGGCCGGCTGCGCAGGTGGTCTGATCTGGGTGTGGCTCAAAATTCAGCAGGGGCAAACCGCAGGTTTTGGCAACCATGTGTCCACTTGCCAGGGCAACCCATGTTGGAATTCCGGTTTTTGAGCCACAGCCATCTCCATGTAAATCCGCGTCTGGTTTGAAAGCGGTGCCGTGCAGGAGAAAAACCATCGCATTGCATTCAAGATGCCAGTATTTGACACTGTTCAATGAAACATGCTGGGTTTGATACTGTGGGAGGACGAAATCATGCAACACTTTGAAAGCATTGGAAACCATTGTTTGCTGGTATTTACAGGGGAATCATCATTCCAGGGCTTCTTAGGTGGTGCAGGATTTCTTCCATCCACAGTATGGCCGCTAGGAGCCTCTCATGTGGAATGAGCAGGAATGGCTCATTTGTTCCCATAGATTTGTCGCTTTGGAGTATCTTGAGGGTTTTTTTGGGTCATAGACTGCTACAGGATCCATAGCATCAGTTCGGATGCGAGGCACACCCAGGATTGTTCTTAAAACTGCGGAATGGTTTCGGCCTCTGAAACTGGAATCACCTAGGAGCGCCGCCTGGAGAGCGGCTTCTGGCTCTCCTTAGGCAGGGCCTTTCACCACCAGCACTTGAGCTGTGGGTGAACTTTCCGGGGCAAGATGCTTTATGATGTATTCACGGGGTGACCACCAGCACCACTTCGCATGAGCTGTGGCTGAACTTTGAGTGCCAAACTCGGTCAGCAGGATATCCGATATCGTGAGGCTTTTTGTTGTTTGTGCCACAAATCCTGGCCGCCTGCTCATGCTTGATGCAAGTTTCACGGGTCAAGTCATTGGCTCCTGACAAGCGTTGTCCGAAAAGCAGGGGTTCGGTTTTCACCCGGACAAAAGCATTCAAGAACAGGCACGTGTAAGGCAAAGCTTCGAGGATGTAAGAGCAGTGAGTCATGACTCAGCGCAAGAGTAGCATTCTTGCAACACAGCTGCACCCCAAGATGCTCACTTGTGAAACGTAATGTAAAGGCATGAATAATTCACTGCTTCACCTATTGGTCCGCAATGATATGAGTTGAGGACATCGGCTCTGAGGAGGAGGAGGGTTGGACCACCAGCTCAGCTTTGGCTCGGAGATCTGAAGGGCAGTTGAAGGTTTGTCAAAGTCAGGGGCCCTTTTCGGCATCCCCTTTCAAAGCCGGCACGTCCCGGCGGCACCAGGCTCCAAAAGGCTCCGGAATATTTTGGTCAACCCCCCCAGCTGCCTGCTGTCCGCTTCTTCTCCGCCCTCCCGGCTGTGCCGCCGGCTGGGCCCCGGTGAGGCGGCGGCTCCTTCTTCAGCGCCCTCTCCTCCCGGAGCATGGCCGGGAGCCCCCGACACCGAGCCCGGGGCGCGTTGTTTCGCGTGAGCGCGGGACGTGGGAACCTCGGCTCCCGCGCTGGAGCGCGTATTTGTTTGCCAAGGGGATGTTGGGACTTGAGAACTTTTGGCCAACTGCTGGGTGTTCAACGAATGAAGCCACTGAAGGTTAAGCTTTTAGCAGGGGAGCCGAAGGCAACCGAGACCATTGTGCCACATCTGTCTGGGGTCTTGAGACTCATGGGCTTTGCAGCGGATTGGGCAGTGGGTGCCTTTGACATGGCTAAGTTGATTCAACGCCCCTTCAACTGGTTTAAGGCGGGAGGCCTGCCCAAAATAGCTTTGCACTGGAACCACACTGGAACCATCCTGGTTGCTGTCATCGTCGTTGTTGTCGACATTCTTGCACTTCTGAGAGGAGCCAGTTTAAAACAGTGGCCCGCAATGTGCACTAGAATAATGCAACCGCCACGTATCCAAAGCACTAGCGACCAAGAATCGACATGAGAGGTTTGGCGGCTGTCTGATATCTAGGCTTTCCTTCACTACTTACCAGCCTCCTTTCTGGAGCGCAGCCAGCCGGCAATCGAAAGGAAAGAGACCAGATGTGGCTGTGGGTCAAAAATAGATACCCACAATGGAACTCTGGTAAATGGAAGCATGGACTAAAACCTGGGGTCCCCTGGTGGTTGAATTTTGACCCATCCCATAATATGATTTGCACTGCCGAAGGCCATCAGCAGACTAGCAAAAACTCGGTGCAATGTGCTGCTCATCATCAGGCCTGGAAGGGACTTGAGTTCGAGCGATTAGCGAGTGGCCCGAAGTGAGATACCAGTCGACAACTTATTCGCACAAGATCATGCTTGCACTTGTGATGTTGGTTTCAATGAAACTCGTGGCATGCGCGACGAGTCCAATGAGCTCTCGGATGTTTGCCCAAGCTGAAGAACTCGCGAGAGGGAAAGATAGAAGTTCATGGCGGAATCGGTTGGGACCCCTTTTCGGTAGCGGAAATTGAACCTTCGGCTACGCGCATGTAGGCCGGATGAGATCTCGCCCAGCTTTCCGAAGCACATGTCGCTGTGCCTTGACTGAACGCCATGGTGTGTTGGATATTGTGAGCCGATGATTGGCGGACTTTGTTGTGTCTCGGAACGCGCTTGTGTGGGGTAGAAGCAGGCACAGCAAAGTGACCAGCAACGGACAGTTGGGTGGCTGAATGGTACTGAATTCAGCAGATTGTTGCTTGGAATTTGTAAGGCCAGAACCCGACCCCGACGGTGCTTTGAGACCGGAAGTCGGCTGTTGCTCGCACTACATACGGCCTGCAGCGTCCGCTGTTTTGCTGAATCCCAGCACAGTGTGTAATCGAGTGGGTACTTCTCGAACCTCGAAGATGCCCATATTCCTGCGTTGAAGGGCAGCTTTGTCGCTAAGCCGCTAAGCATGGGAAATCTCAAAACTGCACCCATCAAGACATCTTCTTTGATGTGACTTCGAAGGGGACTCCCTGTCAGCACACGCTGGTGAAGGCTTAATTGCATCTCGGAGCTGCTACGCTGAGCCCTCGCTTCCTAGGCGGGTTTGGTACTCGTAGTGATCGTCATTCCGCAGTCCTTCAACCATAGGCAGATCACCAGTTGCCTGCACCCGGATCAAGCTTGGATCTTGGCATCGCGGGTGCACCCAGGCGTGGGAACAATGTTGATGACTCTTTGTTCTCCCTGGAGACGATCTTCCGAATTGGGCGCATCACCCGGACTGTCAGCAGGGGCCCTTAGTTTACTTTCTGCGGCATTCGTGCGGGATCCATATGGAATCCATGGTGTCCTGACCAAGTCAAACTCATGTGATAACCAGTTTAAAGGTCTGGCATTTTGGGGAACAGAGGGCATTTGCACTTGGGTCGACATGTTTCGTCTCCGGGGGCCTATAAGCTTCCAGCTTTACTGCCTTGCGTAGCAGATGAGTCAACCGGATGCCGTGTGACTAGAACTGGCGATGAGTTTCAGCGATCATTTGACCCTGCTCAACATCAGAAGATGCGGGAGTTGTGTGGAAGCTGAGTTTTAGCTCGTCCGAAGTGAAACCAATGAACATCAACCACCAAACTGAACCAAATAACAACCCAATCATGAGAACCACCCAGAAGAATCAGCGGAAAGGCAACTGGGCGGTAAATTGCCAGCTCCCGGCCCTTAGGCGACCAAATCGGGCACAACCTCTTCATGCCATCGTTCATGCCATCCTTCCGGTGCGGTGAGACCCGTTCCTAGCCCGATTCAACTGATGTTTCCAACACATCACGTTACGAGCTTGCTGAGACCAGCTCCTATACTCGTTACTCGTTTTTTCGTCTCCAACAGCTCCAAACCCTAAACCCTGAACCTCAAAATTAGTCTCAAACAGCTCCAAATGCTCTGACCCGGCCGGGGCTTCAAATCGCCGGCCACGGGGCGTTAGTCTAGGGGACACTTCCCCATTCTTTCCAGGGATCCTTCTTTCCGGAAAACCATCAAGACCCCAGAAGAACCAGTGATCGGTTTTTGGAAAGAAGGATGGTTGAAAAGAATGGGCAAGGAATCCACCCCTAGAAAAATGAACGGATATCTCGGTTTTCCCTTCCGTCTCCCTTCAAAGAATCAAACAATTGGTAGCCTCAAATTCGACAGGCCCATATACACAGAAGCCCAGGACTGGAGGTGTTGGGTATCTGGCAGCCTAACATGGCACCTCCATAGGTTGATTTGGAGTGCTTTGGAGGGGAACACCCCCAATGTTGATGAGACCTGAGAAAAAGATGTCTGGTGCTTCATAGGCCCCAAACAAAATCCTTCCCTCTGTTTGCTTTTGGGTCGCCTCAAGCTCGAGCTGAGTGGAGCGTTTCCCTCTCGGTGCTCCGCTCGGCGCCGGCGCCGCTCCGATGTCGCGATGTCGCGAGGCACGGAGCTGGACGTGGACGGCTCCTCCAGCTTCACGGGGCCCAACTGCCGCTGGCCCGCCGGGAGCCCCGAGCGAGCGAGCCGAAGCGGAGCGAGCGAGCGAGCGGGAGGCGGGAGGTGGCCGAAAGGAGCGGGGCGGCGGTGATCTTCTTTTCCCCCATGGAGGTGGGGAAGCGGGGTGATGGGATTTACTTTTACTTCTTGTTTTGTTTTATATATATATATATATATATATTATATATAAATAAATACATAAATAAATAAATAAACAACAATAACAAAAAGAAGCAACCCAAATGCATGTGACAGAGTTCCTTCCTTCAATTCCATCAGTCCCTTCCCTCCCCATCCCCTGAATGCCAGGGAAGTGGGACACCCGTTTCAGTTGGAATTGAAGGATCCCATACCCAACCCCCTGAGAAAGTCGGAAACACCAGAAAACAGGGATGTTGTTGTTTCTCTGTCGCCAGTTCATGGCGCAAGCCCTTTGTATCCTTCTCGTCAAGTATGTTCATGGTTGGATCTCTCCACTTTTCGGCTTTGGATTGCCCCACCTTTTGACCTCCATAGGAATCCCATTCGGCTGATATCGGCAAGTTGCCATCGAAGTAGTCCAGCAAAGCAGTAGTGACCTTGTCATGCTACTCATGGCTGCGATCTCAGCTGCTTCAGCGTCAGTCACCTGAAGACTCCCCGAATCGTCAGATTGAGCGTAAGGAGAGCGAGAGAGACAAATGCTAGGGCCTCACCCAGTTGAGTCTGTCTTTTTCTGAGGGCCCTTTTTGTGGTGTAAAAGGGACACCGAAAGGACAATCACATTTTTTGGGGGGGTCGGGTTGACACCCATTTGTGCCTAGCCTTTCACATTTGGTTGCAAGCTGGCTCTTGGTGCATCTTGTTAACTGACTAACATCCTGCCAGAGGTTGCTTGAAAGCTTGCAACGGACAAGGAGTAAACCCTGTCCAGCGATAGTACCCATAATGAGGCACATGATACGTGAAAGTCAGAGAACAGGTCTATGGGTTATCTCTGAGGCTTTGAGCTGATTCCCCTCCCTCCCTTTGCCTCATACTGTAGCCTTCATAGTGATGTCTGGGGCCAACCCCAGCTTTTTCCAGGGTAGATCAGCCTTCTGCCCTTGCCCTAACATACCACTGAGGTGATCATCATCGAAGTGTACTCCGTGAGTTGCTACACGGAAGCACGGCCTCAGAGAGTGATCTGCGATGGGGTCGGGTACGCTCATGAAGAGCATCCTTGCGGATGAAACGTCCACAAGCTGCAGTATTTGTGCATGGCAGCTGAAAAGTGAGGTGGCTTACCTAGATGAGTGCAGAAGATACGAGACTTATCACCGGCAAGTTGCTGGGGATTGGACCACACACCACAGGCGTCTGGAACACTGAGCTTTGTGCCGCCGGGCTATGCCTTGGCTGATGGGAGCCACCTCCAAAGTGGTTGGACATGAACCCCAGGCTTTGATGCCCTGAAGGGTCCACCGAAAATGGTCCAAGCTGAGTTTGGTAGAACCCTCCCAACGCGTCCAGGAGAAAAGCATTCATGAAAGGGGTTGGTCTTTTTTTGGGGGAACCCTCCCTTGGGTTGGGTTTACCGGGAAGCCAGGAGAACCCGAAGCCAGTTTAGGAGCTTCCCCAAAAAAGGAGACACCCAACGCGTTTTCTGAAGTTCGGACTAGGCCATGGAGCTCCTACAAGAGCGCGGCCAGCTGCGCAGCGGGGAGCTCTTGTCCAGAGTGGAGGCGAGAAATTCGGGGTCTGGAAGCGGTTCGTGCGGGAGGAGGCCATGTCTTTTTTGAGGGCCCCTATTTGGGGGGGCTTCCCTATAAGACAAACCAAAGCTTGATTCATCCAGAGGCTTTGGTGTCTGAAACTTTAGTTCATGTCACAATAATTCCAGAACAGGTTGTACAAGAAAAGCTGAATTTGCTGACCTAGCTGGCAAGCTGTTCTGCGAAGGAACCCTCTCCCAACCTGGAGGATCTCAACGTTTGTCACATCATGTCAACTGTCACATCAACCGTTACGCCCACTTGCAAAGAGAACGGTCACTAGCTTTCTATGACGTCTCTATCGTACAGGTATGGTTTTGCCACCGTCATTACTGTGAAGATAACAATTGTTAGCCGGCCAGCCTCTGTTGTTGCCTCAAAAAGAGACAACGTTGCTGCGGGAGCAGAACATGTTGATTGATGGAGGTTTGTTTTAGATTCGTTCATTGAGAACACAAACTCATCTTTAAGCACCGATTTGCGGAACTGTGATGTTTGAGGTGGGCAGGGGAGAGAACCTGGTGCAAGGCCTGCAATCTGCTGATTTGGCATGCACGTTGCTTGCCAGGAATGGACGCAGTGTGCTCCACCTGATCGGGCGTGGGGCCGAGAGTTGGGAGGCTGTAAGCATGTAGCTCATGTGTTGCCGAACGCCCCAGAGCACAAGATCAAACGCCTAGCCCAGAAGCTGCGCCCAGGCTTTTTGCATTTATCCATCAGTTGCGTTGGACACGTTCCCTGACTCCTGGTCAAGCCTGCCAGAGACACACAGAAAACACAGAAACGCACAGAGACACACAACATGTGGTTTTGCCCTTGCCGCAGCTACCTGGCTGGTTTTTGGTGTTGCGTCTGTATGCCAAGGCTTATGTGTTTGAGTTGCCGAGACTCCGCTCGCCCGGGCTTAAGCTTTGTTCTTGCTGCGTCGAGTCCCGGCTCTGCTCTCCACGAGCTCATTCCGACTTTGTGGATTCATCACTGTCGGGGGGAAAGAAGAGGTTGCAGGCGTGCAGAATCAGGGGGTGTCTTTGCTTGAGGGTGCCCTTTTAAAGGGAAGCCAAAAAGATAACTATAGGTTGTTGTTTTTTTTGTTGGGGGGGGTCCTAAAAAACAACCCACACACACACACACCCAGGTGGACTGAGCGAAATTTGGCTCCAAGCTCCCGATTTCCCAGGAGGCGGATCGCCTCTACGCTGCGGGCCTTCTGCTTTCCAAGGCGTGCGGTGAGTTGGGAGGTCGTCCCTTGAAGCTCTAGCTGTACCCTCCTTTTCCATTCTCTTCAGGCATCATTAACTTCAAAGAATGCGTCAAAACCCTGAAAAATGGGTGGTTTCAAAGAGAACGATGAGTGAAGAGAATGGAAAATCAAACCTTCGAGAAGCTGGACGCATGTTCCGCCTGGCCGTTTTAGGCAAAAGGAGCCGTCCTGCTGTTGGGTGTAGATTCCCGGTCAGGCCTTTTTTTTGAGGAGCGTGAGTTGCGTGTGGGGACTGATTCCTTCTTTCGAGCGACTTGACTTCGGCTTGGCCTCAGCTTGGGCCTGGAATTCAGTGCAGGTCGCACGCTCCACGGAGAGCAACTTTGGAGGGCGGAAGGTGCGGTGAGGGCGAAGATCAGGCCCTGTGCCTCTTTTTTTTTTGGGGGGGGTTTAAAGGGTGGCTCAGACTACAAGGCCACGTAGTCCAAGCACGCCCACGCATCTCATTCACGGTGTCAAGGTACGGCTGGCCTATCACTGCAAGCATTCTTCAACTCTTTGACTTTGAAGTGAATTTGGTATAAGACGTTTGCAACTGCTCGGTTTGCCGGTGCCTCCCCAATTTCCCAGCGAGCTCACCGGGGCAAGCTGAGCCCACATAGACCTGCGAGACTTGAGATCCACATCTCTTTCCAGCGCGAGTCCAGTGCCACGGCATTCCATGCCGGGCCAATGTTGTGTCACCAAGTTTCTCGTGGGACGGGAATGTCAAACAGGTGCAGCCTGCCACGGCTATCAGGCAAGTTGCCACCTTTTTGGGGGGTTCCCTGAAAAAAGTGCGCCGACTTGCGCCAGCCCCGCTACCCGGCGGCCGAGCTGAACACCTTCAAGGAGAAGGCCTGGCAGTGCAATCATGCGGTTGCACGAAAGCCGGCGAGCTCTGGGAATCCCAACGCCGGCAAAGGAATGGTCCAGGAGGGCTTCGACTTCTGACCACCTTCGATTTATCAGGCATTCTTTCAGCGCTCCAACACAAAAGCGTTACGGTGCCTACCAATAAAATAAGTGGAGGCCATTGCGGAAGGCGTCGGAGATAGTGTATTCTTGCTGTTCATTCCACTTGTTTAAAGTCTCAGGGCGGGCCAGTTTTCAAATTTGCTTTGCTTGTTGACATCCAACTTTGGACCGCCAAGGAAGCCCCCCCCCCCCGCAGCCCCAACGTTGCACTTGCGCGCGTTGATTTGCATGCGGAATCTCTGGTCCTTCGCCACCATAGACACCATCTAAGTAGCTGTTACCAAACCATGCCCGGATGCCCAGTTGAGCATGTTTTCGAGCCAGACTAAAACATCATTCAATGTCCAGTTCATTTGACGCGCCAGGCTCTTGTTCGTGTAGCCCATCCTTTTAACCTCTCGCAACCCGCGACCCTTCTTGCTTGGTTGCGTAGGTTCAGTGAAGCCCATTGATACCCAAACTTAGATGGATGATCATTGGATCCATGTGCTTGCTTGAAATCAGAGGCTCGCTCCGGCCTGGGCTTGCCATCATCAGGCTTGTCCTTCTTTTTCTTTGACTACCTCATTGGGCAAAATGTTTGGCCCCCAAACAGGTGGCAAAAGGACCCGACCGTTACAGCCATCTGGGCACGTTATGACAAACGCTCACCGTTTTTTTTTCTTTTTTGGGGGGGGGGGGTGCGGGGTGGGTGGGTGGGCGCGGGGGGGGGGGGTTGGCGGGGGTGGCGGGGGTGGTGGGGGTGGCGGGGGTGGGGCGCAAGCGTCCGCAGGCAAAAAAAGCAAAGCAAAGCAAAGCAAAGCAAAGCAAAGCAAAGCAAAGCAAAGCAAAGCAAAGCAAAGCAAAGCAAAGCAAAGCAAAGCAAAGCAAAGCAAAGCAAAGCAAAGCAAAGCAAAGCAAAGCAAAGCAAAGCCAAAGCAAAGCAAAGCAAAGCAAAGCAAAGCAAAGCAAAGCAAAGCAAAGCAAAGCAAAGCAAAGCAAAGCAAAGCAAAGCAAAGCAAAGCAAAGCAAAGCAAAGCAATCAAAGAAACGGAGGAAGGAAGGAAAGAAAGACAGATAGGTAGATGAATAGATGTACAGATAGGCGCATGGATGAATAGGTAGGTGGATAAATAGAGAAGTCAATCGAGGTGAATGGCAGAGACGCACAGGGCAATTCATATTTGCATTCGGGTTCGAGGTTTCGATCACTTTTTTCAGACCTGGATTTCGTTGTTATTCTTTTTTTTTCCATTGACACCAACCAAACCATGGTACCACCTCCAGCGCAGACGGGGCCCCCAGATGTCGCGGGGTCGAAGTTAGGCCAAGGAGAAGCTGCTGGCGGCCGCTGCGTGCGCCACTGCGGGGGGGCACTGGGAGCTGGCGGCGCAGGCCCGGGGTGGGGGTGGGTGGGGGTGGGTGGGGGTGGGTGGGGGTGGGTGGGGGTGGGTGGGGGTGGGTGGGGGTGGGTGGGGGTGGGTGGGGGTGGGTGGGGGTGGGTGGGGGTGGAGGGGGGGAGCTCGGGGGGTGGGTGCTGGGGTGGGGGTTGGGAGGCAAGGGACTGGGAGGAGGAAGGACATGCATTGCGCACAGCTGAATTGATATCTTCCAGGGTGGGTGGGTGTGTTTAGGGGAATGCAAATTTGACCTGGAGCAGCGTGGGTCAGAATATCGTAGATGCAAGTTTCAAGAACCAGGGGTGTGTTGGTTTGGATGGGAAGTAGGCCCTACGAGGTCTCCCGGTTGCAAAGATTCAGCAGAGTTGCTTTGAAGGGAGCTTGGAAGAATGCAATAGTTTGAGAGTCTGCTTCACTTCCGCCATACACGCTTCTTGCAGCAGTTTTGGAGCCTGGGGCCTGCGGGTTTCCTGTTGCCCGACATCCCACAGCCCACCTGGCCCCAAGGTCCACCTTGATCGCCCCGACGCGAACCTGTAGAAGAACTCCATAGGCATAGGTGTCCTTTTGGGTTAGTTTGCTTAAGAAAAATCGAGGGCGATTCCTGGTTTAGATGGGGTTTATGAACCAGTCACCAGGGAAACCCATCGATTTTTTCAAAAGCGGCTCCTTGGTAGAAGAGCCGTGTCCCTTCCAAGGCCTGTAGCTTGGGCCCGGCAGCGCTCGCTTTCAGGCGGCGGCCGCTGCGGAGGAGCTGAGCTCGAAGGTCTGCTGAGGCCCAAGGATTCTTGTGAGGGTCGCAACAAAGCCCATGATGGCCGCATGGGCAGTTGGGCAGTTGGTTGGGTGGCTGGTGGTGAATGGTGAGTTTATTGGGTAGTTGCGTGGTTGGGGAGCTTGGGATGATTCAGTTGTCAGGTTGTCAGGTTTGGGATCTTGACTCGAAAACAATGCCAAACCAGCCGAACACATAGCCAACCACATCCCTGAAGCAAACCTGAGAGGCGTCAAACCAGCCAAACGACCTTGGTGAATGAGTTCAGTTCAGCAGTGAGTTTTGTTCTTTGTTGCTGCTCCCGCGTCAACTGCGAGGAAGATTCCGTGATACTGTGGATGGACGAAATCCATCACCACTTTGAAACCCTTGGAAACCATTGTTTGTTGGTATTTACAGGGGACTCATCATTCCAGAGTTTCGTAGGTGGTGCAGGATTTCGTCCATCCACAGTATTTCTGCATGACGCTGGGAAGAGGTCGCCTTGACTGTTTCGGCCAGGTGACCCAAAGCTGGACTCCAGATGGGCAAGCTGGCAGCTTTGACACAAGGAAGCACTGCATGCGCTGCAAAGAACGGCGATGTTTCGATTGAGCTCAGCTTCCAGCCCATGAATCCCAAGAACTCAGGTTCAATGTACACACACACACCCACATACATCTGCAGCCGCGTCCTCCTCTCGAGAGTTGACGCTGTGCAGGGGGGTCAGACCCCAAAGACCAAAGAGCGTCCGATTGCAGCAATTCATGTACAGCCATTGGCAGCAAAGGGTCTGCGTCAAACGGCGCCCGCTGTGCAAGTTGAATTGGGCAAGTTGTGAGCAGCTGAAGACCGCGACTCAGATGCCGCATGCCGCGACTCAGAATTTTTGTGGAGTTCAGGTGGCACTTTGCCATGGACCGAGTTCTTTGGGCTTCAGCTGCTCGTAATTTGTGTCGTTAATGTCCCAGACTTTGGTCCGGCAGGAGCAAGGTGAGCTGCTTACAGCAGGCGGAATGCCAGCAAGAAAAGCAGCCCTTAGACTCCAAAAGCTGGACAGCGTGTAAACCATGTGTATATATAATTATATATATATATATGCATACATGTATGTATACATACGCATACACGCATTTCACAAATCGTTATTGTTGTTATGACGTATATAGCATACGAATTATACATCGGCATGATGGAAGTTCTTGGCTGGGCAGCAGCAAACTGGATGAGTGCTTGTCAAAAGAACCGCAAAGTCCTCAGCAGCTTCAGCCTTGCGTGTGTCTTCTGTCCTGTCCATTTGGGTGTGATTTTTTGAGGGTATCCCCTTTTTTCTTTCTTTTTAAGGGAAACCAAGAGGAACACCGAAATCCATTTTGGGGGCTTCCGATTCCTATGAAGGACACACACACACACACACACCGCACCATTTGTTTGAGGCATCAGCCCCCTTGTACCTCAGACACCATTTGTTTGAGGCATCCCCAAGAAAAGTCGTGCTCTTGTACTTACTGCAGGTGCTTCGGCCCAAACCCACCGCCCTGAAAAACAGCTCCGCGCCCTCTGCCTCGAGCCTTCGAGCCGATGGGAAAGGCCCCGAAAGAGCCAAAGGAACCCAAGGAGAAGAAGGTGATCAAGCCCAAGGACCAGCGCTGAAGTCCATAGCCCTCCGTCGCGTGCGGCATGAGTTGTATCGCATTGGTTGCAACGGTTTTCACGCAGTTTTACTTGCATGGCACAAGCCAATTTCCCGAAAAAAGTCACGAGCTCAGATTGAGCAGTCAAGAATCGTGCCAATGACCTCGAATTTGCCAAAAATATGGATCGTTGCTCAGAAGAAACATTTGCTGTCCCAACAGACAGACAGTGGACAACTGGCCGCATCTCGGCTTCATCCCGGTTTCGGCCTTTGAGCAACAGAGCCATGGTGAGAAGCTGGCTTACTTTAGGAGATGACGCTTATGCAAGGATGTTCAACTGCAATTACAAGGATACTGATTTCGGGGACCACTCCCCCGATGTATTTCCTAGGTTTTGGTATGCCCCCCTGCCCTCCCCCCACCCACAGGTTATCTTAGCTGCAGCAGTCGGCTCTTCTAGCTGCAACCTGCGACTGACGCAGACATGCGTGTGCGAGAAGATGTTGAAACTGGAAAGATTGCTTATTTTGCCAGGTAGCAGCCTCTTCTCTTTTGTCTTTGTTTGTGGCAGGAGCCGGTGACACGCGACCACACCATCCACCTGTGCCTGGGACAGGAAACCGATGAGATCTGAGCATGCCAGTTGCAATTTCGCTGGGGCTTCTCGGGAGGGCGTTTGGGCAAGGGCGTTTGAAGCATACCGAAGGCCACGCGATTTGGGCCGCTTCTTGCCAATGTACTGCGCGCCCCGGAAGGGAGAAAAATGGAGTTGGGTGTGGGTCAAAATTAAGCCATGAGGGGACCGCAGGTTTTGGTCCATGTTGCCACTTATTTTGGGTACCTATTTTTGACCCACAGCCAGTTCTTGGCCCAGGCACAAGCACATGCAGGGGATCGCTTTCAAGAAGAGGGCCCCTCGGGCTGTGCGCGTGGCCTGGGCCCCAGCATGACTCCTTCAAGTGGTTGGCTTCCTTAGTTGGTTTCCCCTTGACAAAAAAAAAAACAAGAAACGAAGCTCCTAGCTTGGGAAGCACTATGGCTGGAACTGAAATGCTTGGCCGGCTGAAATGGAGTACTAGGCTCGAGATATCAGTATTGTTGGAACAAGCTGGCTTCAGCAAAGCGAGGCATGCAAGTCCAAGACACCTGGATGTGCACCTGACTGTGCGCCACGATGCCTTCTCAGGTAAGCTTTGCTGTTGTGCAAGGCAAGATCGTGGGAAAGGAGTCGTTTATGCAAGGAAACAACGGGTGTAGAGTACGTGGCCAAGAATGCTACTGCAGATGCTTGAGAGGGCCATTTGTGCCGAGCACTCGGCTTTGCCATCGTCTGCTTTTTTTGGACCAACGCTGAGGTGCGCCAGTTTGCCAGCAAGGTCATGGGGACGAAGGACATTCGCATCGACGCTTGGCACGGGTGGATGTGTACAGCGCATTGATTGGCAGGAAACTTGTCAACAGCTTGCCACTTTGGATAGCAGTCTTAAGACCAAAGCCGATTCGGATCCTTGCAGTATCATGGCCACTTGAGTCACAATCAAAACCCGGTAATACAATGGTCTACCCAGAACCGTGTAAAGAATTAAGAAGGCGGCCGCAGCTATTTATGGCAAGGACATTGTCTTTTATTGATTTTCATTTATTCAGGTTTTGATAGTGGACGAAGATTTGTTATGATGTTTTGTTTGCCTGTCCGTCACCAGTTACCCTGATCAAAGCTTATTTGACAGCTCATGGCAGAACACAAGCCGTCAGACCCAGTGTGTGCATTCCAGTGCGCTGCACTTTCCTGTTCTGAAAACATCACGACTCACCAAATCAGAGCCAATAAGCCTAGGTCCAAGCCTGCCAACCAGGCCCATGAAAATGCCTTGCGTTGAGCCGGGCCTAGTAAAACGCCGGAGTTGGAATAAAAGCGAAGCACCACCTTAACTGCCGATGAGGTGAGCATTCTCCCCTACCAATCAACCTTTCAGTGGCAGGTAAAAACTGATTCACTGCCTGGATCCTGGAGCTTGTGCAAGCACTGAGGACACTAAGCTGAACAAGTTCCTTTGGAGCAACGGCATCCGCAACGTGCCGCGCCGTGTGCGCGTGCGTTTGTCGCGAAAGCGCAATGAGGACGAGGAAGCCAAGGAGCGGACTGAGCTGCAATATCGACCATCTCAATCTGGGGGTCCTGCATTCTGTTCGTATATTATATATATACATCAACAATACACATTTGCATTCCTTGAGCAGAGTGTTCCCATAGGGTGCAGGTCAAAGCCACCCGCGTTAGACAGTCGGCTGGTAAATACTGACAGAGGACAACGTCCTGTACTTCGATGGGAGTGGATGGACAATTGGGCAGCATCTATAGACAGGTCAATATCCAAATGTACCAAAGTAACAGGCACTTCCGACATAGACTCTGTTGGATTGGTCCAAGCGGCTGGAGGCCCAGCACTGTTGGACAAACAATTGTTTATTTGTGATTTACACATGCTTTCTGAATGATGTTTTGAAGACAAAGCTTTGCACAACTTGCCCAGAGACGGGCTTTCAATTGCACAGGTCCCGATTCAGTCACTCTTGAAAAGTTGTCTTCATCTCTTCTTCATTTCGTCTTCATTTTCTTCCTCGGTACATTTTGCTCCATGCACGAAGCGAGACGCAGGAGAAGATGTTTACCTTGGTGCAGCACGTGCCAGTTGAGAGCTTCAAGAACCTGCAGACGGAGAACGTTCGAGATGAGTGAAGCAGGCCGCTGCTGCTTCTGGATGAGATTGGTCGTGGAAATAGATGACTTCTCCTCTGCTTGGGCAATGGGGGGGATCCTTTACACCTTTTGGAGTTTTCTCAAACATCTCCTGGGGAACCATTTTCGCAAGGAGCCCTCTCCAGAGACCGCAGTCTTACGGGTGTCTCCCTCGTTCCGACAAACAATCGAACCCTAGATTGGGATCGTGCTCTGCGTCATCTATGGAGAATGGGCAACGGTTTACTAGAGCTGAACAGTCTGGTTCTCGGAAGCCACAGGGGGGGGTCACGCGAAATTCATCTAAATCCGTTCCTTCCCAAGGGGCGGGACCGCAAAGGCGAGGTTACATCCAGCAAATGCAGAGAGTGACTTCCCTTTCCAAGCCAGGGCTTCAATCCATCAGAACTCGGATCAAGGCCCGTACGAACATCTCCCGGCCGCGCTAGGCGACAACGGCGCGAGACGCAAACCAGGGTATGGCCGGATGTAAAAGAGTGCGGACAGGAAGGACATGCTGCGCATGGATGCGAAATCCATGATTCGCACCGTTCATAAACCCTGGTTTCTGATTCGATTCCCCTGGAAATACCAAGAAGCAATGGTTTCAACAAGTTTCAACCATGGTTTCCAAGTGGTGCGAGCGGATTTCCCAACCATTCACAGTAGGGAGCAAGCTTCAAAGGGCTAGTGCAAAACAGTCAGAGGATATAATGCATGTCCAGTCGAGTTGCCTTGCTGAGGATGTGGCATGCGGCAGGTATTGCCTGTTTCTGGCTGGTCTCTCCTCTCCTGTGTCGCTTGAATGGACATGTGCATGCTTCTCAAGTATAAAGATGCTTGGGGTGCAGCTTGTGCGGAGTAGTGCACTGGTCGACCTCCGGATGCGAACAAGCCTGCTCAACTGCTCAAGCGGCCAGTGTAAAGTACTATAAGGGTCTGTCTTTTGTACGGACATCCTTTTTGGTGGTTGTCAAAGGGCAACTAAAAGGAAAGCCACCAATTTGGGGCGACCAAATCCTAACAAAGACATCCACAAGAGGCTCCCCGACCGAGCTGAAACAAGGGTATGTCAGCAGCTGACTGCAACATGTCAGGTTTTCTTCAAGCCAAGTAGGTCAGCCCAAGCCCTGCCATATTCACTCAATGCACCGGGCAATTTCCGCGGCCGGCCATGAGTAGCAAGGAAGGGGCTGTGGATGAGTCCGCCTCCCGGATTTTTCAGCCTTGGACGCTGCATCTCCTGGGCATGCACAGTTGAATGGATATGAACACATGAAGCAAGTACAGGATTTGGCAAACTCGAGGTTTGCAGCACGGGATGTTCGTTGCACATGCTGGTCCCTGGACGTGAGGTGTGTGCTACCAGAGGCAGCTATGGGAGTTTTACTTCAGTCTTATCGTTCGGATCTAGGAACGGCCTGATGGACAAACAGCGCATGCTTCTGTCGAGGCTTTCAGTGGGGCTGCTAGCGTCCCTGATGAAGCTGCAGGTGTGTTTTGGGCGAGTCCCGCGTCGAGGTTCGGCCCAGGATTGTTGGACGGCTCCCTCTGCCAAGACTGAATTGGTGCTTTCATGTTTCGGGGTCAGGCGAACGGAGGGCCACCCTCCAACTAAACCCAAGCTGCCCTCCAGATGCGTCCGACTCGTGCCGCGAGCTACCTCGAAGCATTCACTTCACTCGCCTTGGCATGGTGTTTGGTTTTTCAGTTTGTTGGTTCTGTTCATTTTTAGTGGGGGGATGAGTGTTTTGCTTCCATACCAAGAGTTGTAGAGGTTTGGTGGCCAAAATCAGGCTTGCCCTGGCGTAGGATCTTTGGTTCAATCACGACCATGAGACGACCATTCCCCGGCACCGTCACTGAAGACCAACTCACCCACCCACCACTGCCATCGCCACCACCATTCTACAGAAGGGGGTGCCCTAAATTTGGATTGACCCATCAGCAAAGGACAGTCTTACCAGCATATCAGCATATCAGTTTGGGTAGTCCCCTATCGGTTTTGGTTTTCTTTTGCCTGATCGTCATAAGTTTGGATCAAAAAACGGATGGGAATGGGTGGGGCCTGGCTTCAATGGGGCTTCCTTTTTGTTGTTGAGAAAACCCAAAAGGGAAAACCGATTTGAGCCATTTTAGACGTCCTAGTTTGACCCCAGTTCCTTTTGAAGCATGGGGAAGGTACCCAACGCCCAAACCACCCAATTCGAGGGAAGCTAAAAGGGACAACCTGCTTGAGCATCTTCGAGCCATCCCTCTGGCAAGCTTTTGCATGCAAGCTGACGTCAGCTGCCTGTTAATACGGTTGGTTTATGTGGTTCTAGGGTTAGTTTAGGGTGGGTTTTTTGGGCCAGAATTGGTTTAGTTTTAGGTGTGTTTTTACCCTTGCCCTTTTGGGGGCCCGGGAATCCTTGGACTAAATCTCCCAAATGTGGTTTTGGTGGTTTTCCCGAAAGCATGGCGAAGGGTTTTTCCGCTGGGTCTTGAGTTGTTCTCATGAGAGTCATCGCGTGCAATCATTGCAAGGAATCATCATCAGTCATTACAAGGAGTCATTGCAAGGAGTCATTGCAAGGAGTCATTGCAAGGAGTCATTGCAAGGAGTCATGAGAGTCATTGCAAGTTGCAAGGAGCCAAGTGCATGGAGCCAAGTGCAAGTTGCAAGTGCATGGAGTCAAGTGCAAGTTGCAAGTGCAAGGAGTCAAGTGCAAGTTGCAAGTGCAAGGAGTCAAGTGCAATTGACTTGCGAGGAGTTAATATCTCTTCTTAGGGCGGCGGGGTAGTGCCGACGACACTCTACGAAAATCGACCCTCTGCGGGGCTTGGCGTGGTTGAGGTGCAAAAACTCGAGGTTTTTTTTTTGCGATTTTGTTTGGGCCCGCGCGACCCTCTGCGGGGATCGGCGTGTTTTTTTTGTTTTTTTCGATTTTGTTTTGGCTCGCGCGACCCTCTGCGGGGATCGGCGTGGTTGAGGTGCAAAAACTCGGTTTTTTGCGATTTTTGTTTGGGCCCGCGCGACCCTCTGCGGGGATCGGCGTGGCTGAGGTGCAAAAACTCGAGGTTGTTTGCGATTTTGTTTTGGCTCGCGCGACCCTCTGCGGGGATCGGCGCGGTCGAAAACTCGAGGTTTTTTGCGATTTTGTTCGGGCCCGCGCGACCCTCTGCGGGGATCGGCGTGGCTGAGGTGCAAAAACTCGAAGTTTTTTGCGATTTTGTTTTGGCTCGCGCGACCCTCTGCGGGGATCGGCGTGGCTGAGGTGCAAAAACTCGGTTTTTTGCGATTTTGCTTTGGCTCGCGCGACCCTCTGCGGGGATCGGCGCGGTCGAGGTGCAAAAACTCGAGGTTCGAGCTTGTCTCGTGGTTCGCGCGCCTGCTCCCGGGACCGGCGGTTCGATTCCCCCCTGGTCCGCGGGCGGGCTTCGCAACCTGCACAGATCAACCTGCGCAGAGCAGCTTGCACAGAGCAACTTGCGCAGAGCAACTTGCACAGAGACATTTGCACAGAGTCAGTTGCACAGAGCTTCTTGCACAGAGCAATTTGCGCAGAGCAACTTGCACAGAGCAATTTGCGCAGAGCAACTTGCACAGAGCAACTTGCACAGATCAACGTGCACAGAGCAGCTCGCACAGAACAACTTGCACAGAGCAACTTGTGCAGAGACGTTTGCACAGAGTCAGTTGCACAGAGGTTTTTGCACAGAGCAAGTTGCGCAGAGCAACTTGCACAGAGCAACTTGCACAGATCAACTTGCACAGAGCAGCTTGCACAGAGCAACTTGCGCAGAGCAACTTGCGCAGAGCAGCTTGCGCAGAGCAACTTGCGCAGAGCAACTTGCACAGAACAACTTGCACAGAGCAACTTGTACAGAGACATTTGCACAGAGTCAGTTGCACAGAGCTTCTTGCACAGATCAACTTGCACAGAGCAGCTTGCACAGAGCAACTTGCGCAGAGCAACTTGCGCAGAGCAACTTGCGCAGAGCAGCTTGCACAGAGCAACTTGCGCAGAGCAACTTGCACAGAACAACTTGCACAGAGCAACTTGTACAGAGACATTTGCACAGAGTCAGTTGCACAGAGCTTCTTGCACAGAGCAATTTGCGCAGAGCAACTTGCACAGAGCAACTTGTACAGAGACGTTTGCACAGAGTCAGTTGCACAGAGCTTCTTGCACAGAGCAAGTTGCGCAGAGCAACATGCACAGAGCAACTTGCACAGACCAACTTGCACAGAGCAGCTTGCACAGCGCAACTTGCGCAGAGCAACTTGCGCAGAGCAGCTTGCGCAGAGCAACTTGCGCAGAGCAACTTGCACAGAACAACTTGCACAGAGCAACTTGCACAGAGACATTTGCACAGAGCCAGTTGCACAGAGCTTCTTGCACAGAGCAATTTGCGCAGAGCAACTTGCACAGAGCAACTTGCACAGAACAACTTGCACAGACCAACTTGCACAGAGCAACTTGCACAGATCAATTTGCACAGGGCAGCTTGCACAGAGCAACTTGCGCAGAGCAACTTGCGCAGAGCAGCTTGCACAGAGCAACTTGCGCAGAGCAACTTGCACAGAACAACTTGCACAGAGCAACTTCTAACAGAGTCAGTTGCACAGAGCTTCTTGCACAGAGCAATTTGCGCAGAGCAACTTGCACAGAGCAACTTGCACAGAGACATTTGCACAGAGCAGCCGGCACAGAACAACTTGCACAGAGCAACTTGTGCAGAGACGTTTGCACAGAGTCAGTTGCACAGAGGTTTTTGCACAGAGCAAGTTGCGCAGAGCAACTTGCGCAGAGCAACTTGCGCAGATCAACTTGCACAGAGCAGCTTGCACAGAGCAACTTGCGCAGAGCAACTTGCACAGAGCTTCTTGCACAGAGTCAGTTGCGCAGAGCAACTTGCACAGAACAACTTGCACAGAGCAACTTGTACAGAGACATTTGCACAGAGTCAGTTGCACAGAGCTTCTTGCACAGAGCAACTTGCGCAGAGCAACTTGCACAGATCAACTTGCACAGATCAACTTGCACAGAGCAACTTGCACAGAGCAACTTGCACAGATCAACTTGCACAGAGCAGCTTGCGCAGAGTCAGTTGCACAGAGCAACTTGCGCAGAGCAGCTTGCACAGAGCAACTTGCGCAGAGGAATTTGCGCAGAACAACTTGCACAGAGCAACTTGTACAGAGACAGTTGCGCAGAGTCAGTTGCACAGAGCTTCTTGCACAGAGCAAGTTGCACAGAGCAACATGCACAGAGCAACTTGCACAGATCAACTTGCACAGAGCAGCTTGCGCAGAACAACTTGCACAGAGCAACTTGTGCAGAGACGTTTGCACAGAGTCAGTTGCACAGAGGTTTTTGCACAGAGCAAGTTGCGCAGAGCAACTTGCACAGAGCAACTTGCACAGATCAACTTGCACAGAGCAGCTTGCACAGAGCAACTTGCGCAGAGCAACTTGCACAGAGCTTCTTGCACAGAGTCAGTTGCGCAGAGCAACTTGCACAGAACAAGTTGCACAGAGCAACTTGTACAGAGACATTTGCACAGAGTCAGTTGCACAGAGCTTCTTGCACAGAGCAACTTGCGCAGAGCAACTTGCACAGATGAACTTGCAGAGATCAACTTGCACAGAGCAACTTGCGCAGAATGGTCACGGGGCTGTACTGCTTTCGGGCCAACCGTGGTCTAGTTTCTTTATTGGTTGCCATTTGGATCCAAAAGCGCCCTGGCCCCCTGAACTCGGGTCACCCCATGACCGGGACCTTCGGATCCCGAAGGCCCCTCCAACAGCCGCCCCCCCGCCCCCCCCCCGAACTCGCGTCCGGCGGCCGGCCGGCCTTTTGCTCGTCGTCGCAGGGCTGCCGGGGCTACCAGCCGGTGGACTCCGGCCGCGCGAAGGAGGACCTGCGGGAGGTGCAGCGCACCAAGCTGAGCGCCGAGGCGCGGCTGGGAAGCTTGGGTGGGGCGGCCGGGCGCTGTGGGCTTGGGGGTGACATTTGTTTTTGGGTTTATGAACTTGTTTCTGGGAGTTCTGGAGATTTGCTTTGAGCAAGTTTGCGATTTTGGGTCAAGGCGAGTTTGGTTGAGGATCAACGTTTTGGTGATGTTGGGCTGTATTCTTTGGGGCTGGTTTGAACTTTTGGCGCGCGGAAAGCGGCTGCCCCAGCGATTCCGAGTCTTCGCTGGGTAAGTTTGATGTCGTCATTGCGTTTTTCAACACGGTGCACTCCATACAGACGCACGTGAAAACCCGCCAAATGCAGGACCTTTTGTAGGCAGCATAGATTTCCCTTCGGAATCCCTTGGCAAAAAGATGGAGATGGCTTCTTTTGACATGCCCACGCCAAGAAGCAAGGACAAGGGGGTCTTTTTGCCAGCTTTCGTGGAAAAATGATTGACCCCCTCGTAGTGAAGGATTCCTTTTTGAGGGGGTCGCCAATTTTCTCACAAAAGGTGGCAAAAGACCCCCTGAGCAAGGATCTTCCGAAGGCATTTTTTTTTTTGCTTCGCAAGGCTCGGCAGCAGATGAAGGAGGACCTGCAGAGCTTCTGGAGCGAGCTCCGTAGGAGGCGAA